TCGCCCGACTCGACTACGAGGACCAGAAGCTCAGGTCCGCCGAAAAGCGGATGGAGTTTATATGGCAGGCGTCCGACGACTTCGGCCGCACGTCCGACATATGGGCGCACGCGATGGCCGGCTCCCTATACGGCCCGCCCACGGGGTTCAACTGGGATGTGCCCGATGGCGGGGACGAACCCATTATCGATGATAGGTAGGTGTGGGTTAGGGTTACCCGAAGTTTATGTATTTTTAATTTGTGGTAATCTGGTGGACAGGGAGTCCGAGGATTATAACGTGGATAAGATTGTCGATAAGTTCCTCAACTATATTAAGCCGTATGCCGCCAATTACGCCACTAATCACCTACTGATCCCCATGGGCATGGACTTCAACTTTCAGGTACAACCCTATTTCAGCTCGTTTTAACCGGGAACGGTACTATATTTCGGATAAATTTAAAAATCCCTATTTATTTTAACCTAGTTCCATCTAATACTTAGCTTTATATTATTATTAAAATTCGGTGTTAGCTAAATACACTTAACCCCCCTAAATAAACTCACCCTATCATTTTAATTAATTACACCACACCCTTAATTAAGTTACATCACCCCCTAACCTAACCCTCCATGAGCACTAAGACTAAACTTATCCCGATAAACAGTCGGCAAACGCGTGGTTCACCAACATGGACAAGCTCATAAAGTTCGTGAACGCCCGGCAGGTGAATGGGTCAAACATCAACGTGTTCTACTCGACCCCCACGTGCTACCTGGCCGCTGTCCACCAGTCCAACCACACACTCACCTACAAGTCGGACGACTTTTTCCCCTACGCCTCGGACGCCCACACCTACTGGACCGGCTATTTCACCAGTAGGCCGGCCCTAAAACGCTACGAAAGGGCGAGCAATAACTTCCTGCAAGTGTGCAAACAGTTGGACGTATTGGCCCTATTGGGGGGTCAGTACGACAAGGAGGTGACAGCCCTCCGGGAATGGCAGGCCGTTATGCAACACCACGACGCCATCACCGGTACGGAGAAGCAACACGTGGCCAACAATTACGCCCTAAAACTCTATAAGTCGATCGAGAAATGCCAGTCCGTGGTGGAGGTGGCCGTCCGGAAGTTGACACTCAAACAGCCGGCGCTCAAAGACGTCACTAATCTAGGGGAACTGCTATTTTGCCAGCAGTTGAATGTGAGCGCCTGTATCCACACGGAGGCTAACCATTCGCTGGTGGTTACGGTGTATAACCCGTACGGACAGCCGGTGCGACACATATTAAGACTGCCGGTGACCCATAGGAACTATGCGGTGTCGGACACCCAGGGAATGCCTGTCCAGTCGTACGCGTTTCTAATACCTGCGCCGGTATTAGCGCTGAAGGAACGGGCGTTGAGTCGAGCCGTCGAGGAACTGGTGTTTGAGACTAAACTACCGGCGCTCGGGTTCGCCACATATATACTTAAGTACCAAAACGGTAGCGAAACAAATAGCACCGGTAGCGTCGCCACTAACTCTACTAGTTTGCCACCAGTCGCACCGGTATCTCGCAAAGTGGACAAAGAGTTTTCGGTACAAACCAAGAGTTTTAACGTGCATTTTGATGGGAACGGTAGTCTAAAGGCTATACAAATCCGCGCCACGGGACAGGTAGTGGACGTACGCCAGGACTTTGGTTACTACAGGTCCTTTGTGGGCAACAACTATGGCACCAACCGGGCGTCGGGCGCCTACGTGTTCCGGCCCTCGGAACAGGAGGCCGTCCTATTCGCCCGGAGCAACATAATCGCCCACATCGTCGACACGCCTGTCCTCACGGAAGTCCGCCAAAAGGTCGGCGACTGGATGTCCCAAACGGTGCGCATCGACCCCCTGTCGGACGCCATTGAGTTTGACTACCAGTGCGGACCCATACCCGCGGACGAGGGCAAAGAGGTGGTCATCCGGTGGTCGACTAACATGACTACGGGAGGCGTATTTTACACCGACTCTAACGGACGGCAAATGATGCGACGGCGCCGGGACTACAGGCCTACCTATAACCTGACGGTCACGGAACCGGTGTCCGGGAACTACTACCCTGTGACCTCACGTATAGCTATTAGGGACGATCGAAACGACCTACAGATGACTGTGTTGAACGACAGGGCACAGGGAGGTACCGGCTATCGGGAGGGCCAGATCGAGGTAATGGTGCACAGGAGGTGTCTGGTCGACGACGGTATGGGTGTAGTGGAGGCGTTGAACGAGGGAGGGGTCGATGGGAAGGGACTCGAAATCAGAGGCAAACTATGGCTACAGTTGTCGAACATAGCCGGCGCCGCCGAACAGCACCGGGATATGGCTCAGCGGCTATACATGGAGCCGGTGGTGACGTTTAGGCGGTGCTCATCACTGGACGAGTACGCCAGAGAGCACCGGATGGAGTACTCGGCCCTACGGGCGCCGTTACCCAAGAACATACACCTCATGACTCTGGAGCAGTGGGTGAACACGACTTTCCTGTTACGGTTGGAGCACTTTTACCAGTGGAATGAGTCCCTAAGCCTGAGCCTACCGGTGCGAGTGGAGCTCCGGGACCTGTTTCGGGCGTTTGTGGTGACAGAGGCACTGGAGACCACACTGAGTGCTACGGAAAATATATTGGCCGCCCGTAGGCTATACTTCTGGGACGCCAACGCTAACAACCGAAATACCAGTGCCGTATCGGATAGGTTTGAGCCCAAACGCCATGAGCTGAACGGCACCGACCTATCCGTGATTATCAATCCGATGGAAATCCGCACGTTTATCATTAGGACTAATCCCACGGGTGATTAGCACCGGGAGTTAATGGAGTATTACTTTCATTAGTAATTAGTCTCCAGTTATGAATAGTTAGAGAAAATTATTTTTAATTTATTTTAATTTATTTGATTTTAATTACGAATCCATTAGTGAGTTGTGTAT